AATTTTGTTGTAGCAGATATTTCTGATTATTTTTGGGGTATTTCTCAAATTTCGCTCAAGATTCGCCTGTAGGAGGACATGCCCGACCTAACTGTGGTCCCAGGAGACCATCGGCTGCGGTGGATCCCCCCTCAGGCAGGTGAGGAGCACGGCTGCCCCAGATGCAGCTGTTCGGCACCTCCCCGTGCTCGTCTCCTGGGCCTCGTGGAAGGCCCTCGTCGTCACCCTCCTCCTCCTCCTCCTCCTCCTCCTCCTCCTCCGTGGCTGGGTGCGCTCCAGAATCCTGGTCAGAGCGCACGCTGGGAGGCCCGCCCAGCAGCGATGTCGCTATATCTTTTTGCCCCTCCAAGGTGGAGGTGTCCTACCAGGGGCGCGAGTTCGAGCTCCCCGAATGCCCCAGGGCGGCCCTGAGGACCGCCCGGCTCTTCACCGACTACGTCCACTCGGAGCTCCTCCTGCGGGGCGTCGTCGACAGGTCGCGGCGGCGGAATCCGAAGCCCACACTTCGCGATCAACGACTCGGGCAACTCGATGGGCGGCGGGGGTAGGCTTCGAAGTTTTCGGCGTTTTCGTCGTCTCTTGGTGGCTTTCCAGCCGCGGGATGCCTTCTAGCGGCTGCGCCTCGCCGAGAGCGTTTTGCGGGTGCCGGGATCGTCCTGAACGGCTGCCAGAGACTCGAGTTCCATCGATTCAGGAGAATCGATGGTTGTTGGGGGTAGGGTTCCGACACCCCTGACGTCATGATTTCTCATGGCGTCGACCCGCAAAGGTCTCGGCCCATTCCCCGGGGCAAGTTTTTCGTCCCGAGCACTTTTTTGACGGCCCTGGGGCCCGGCAAGCCCCCCCCAGAGGCCAAAGATGGCGGAAACTCGCCCACCGCTGTTTCTTCATGGGCCGAGGAGGTTTTCGGGTCTGGAGCTTTGGGGCGTAGGGCTCGGATGTGAGGTCTGCGATCCTCCGGCTCTACTGGAGCTCCACCGGCCTGGAGGTCCTCGACGCCGACCTCGGGGATCTGCGGGCGCTGCGCCGGCGCGGGGAGCTCTCGGTGCGCGCGGAGCGCTCCGCGGCGAGCGACGCCGCCCGCGACAAGTACAGGCTGGAGGAGCAGGTGAGCGGCGCAACAGGGAGATACGAGGAGGAGGAGGAGGAGGAGGAGGAGGAGGAGGAGGAGGAGAAGGATGAGGAGGACGAGGAGGACGAGGAGGACGAGGAGGAGGGGGGCGGGGAGAGAGCACCGCAGTGATTCGCGTGCAAGTCGCCTCACGCCTCGCCGCGTGGCGCCGCCAGTTTCAAGCCTTGCTTCTTTCGGGGAAACGTGAGACTCGGGTAAGCCGGACTCGGGTTGCCGTCGTTTTTTGACGAGCGCGTCCTGGATTTTGACGGTCCAGTTTTCGTGGGATGTTTGCAGCGGGAGCCCGCGTCGAATTTCAGATTGGGTCTCGTCATTCTTATGATGGCTCCGTCTGGCCAACCCGAGTCCTCCTTACCCGAGTCTTACGTCTCCCCGATTCTTCCGCTTGGGGGGGCGGTGGGGTGGGAAGACAGACAGACAAACAGACAGACAGACAGACAGACAGACAGACAGAGGCCGTGCACAACATGAGTGCGTTGACACAAATGTTGAAACAGAGACGATCGGGTGAAGCGGCGAGCGTGCTAAGCATGCAAGGGGGGGGGAGCAGGAGGAGGAGGAGGAGGAGGAGGACGAGCAGAAGGAGCAGGAGGAGGATGAGGAGGAGGAGGACCAGGAGCAGGAGGAGCAGGAAGATGAGGAGGAGGAGAAAGGGGGGAGGAGTAAGCGAAAAGGTAAACGGAGGAGAAAACGGATGATGATGAGGAGGAGGAGGAGGCGGAGGTAGAGGAGAAGGAGGAAGATCAGGAGGAGGAGTTGAAACAAAAGGAGGAGGAGGCGGAGGAGGATGAGGAGGAGGAGATGGAACAAAAGGAGGAGGAGAAGGAGCAGGACGAGGAGGACGAGGAAAACGATGAGGAGGAAGGGGAGGACGAGGACGAGGACGAGGAACATGAAGAGGAGGAGCGGGAAGTGGAGGAGGAGGAGAAGGAGGACGATAAGGGGTAGTAGTAGTAGTAGTAGTAGTAGTAGTAGTAGTCGTAGTAGTACTAGTACTAGTACTAGTACTAGTAGTAGTAGTAAGTAAGTAAGAGTAGTAGTAGTAGTTAGTAGTAATGGAGTAGTAGTAGTAGTAGTAGTAAAAAAGTAGTAGTCGTAAGTAGTCGTCGTCAGAGTAGTAATCGTAGTCGTAGTTCGTAGTAGTAGTAGTAGTAGTAGTAGTAGTAGTAGTTAGTCGCCGTCGTAGTC